TTAGATGGAGATTTGCTCCTGTCGCCCAGGCTGGAGTGCAGTGGTGCGATCTCCACTCACTGCAACCTCCACCTCCCGGGTTCAAGCGATTCTCCTGCCTCCACCTCCCGAGTAGCTGGGATTACAGGCATGTGCCACCACACTTGGCTAATTTTTGTATTTTTAGTAGAGACGGAGTTTCACCATGTTGGCCAGGCTGGTCTCGAACTCCTGACCTCAGATGACCCACTGGCCTTGGCCTTCCCAAGTGCTGAAATTACAGGCGTGAGCCACCGCACCCGGCCACAAATACTCACTTCAGAGTCCCGCACTGGGTGCTGGGGGAACAGCAGTGACCTGAGGCTGCACCCCTGCCCCAGTGCACCCAAGTCACCCTCTCTTGCTCCCCATGTCTGGGGTGTGCCGACAGATGGGAGAGCTGGCTCAGACTGGCTTGTAGGAGTAGACTGAAATATTCCGGAATCTCCAGCCCTTCCAACATGGTGAAACTCCGTCTCTACTAAAAATACAAAAATTAGCTGGACATGGTGGCAGGTGCCTGTAATTCCAGCTACTAGGGAAGCCGAAGCAGGAGAGTCGCTTGAACCCGGGAGGCGGAGGTTGCAGTGAGCCGAGATTGCCCCACTGCACTCCAGCCTGGGCAACAGAGCAAGGCTCCATCTTAAAAAAAAAAACAAAAAACAGGAATCTTACACCAGTCAATTTCATGTCAGTGGCTTGAAATCAGCCACGGTGGAAATATTTATGCAACAAGAATTAGCAGACACTACCCAGGGGCCTTGCCCCTCTGAGAGCCAGTTAAATATTTAGCACTGACGGGCGCTGAGGGAATTATAAAGCCAGGTCTAAGCCATGCCATGCGGATCCACAAGTCCCTTTGGGAGGTGGGCACCAGCGTGGCATCTTCCGCATGTCCTTACCGCTGCTGGAAGTCACTGTCAGCCATCGCCTGTTCTCTCCAGAGGGTGAAAGTCCAGCCCCTGAAAAAACTTGTGGAGATCCTGCCTTCCCTACGTACAGGCCTCAGACTAGGAGGATCAGCTCTGAGTGGCTGCAGGTGGAAGGCCCTGGGTAGGGCGGGGACGTCCATAGGAGAGAGGAGACAGGTGTGGGACTCTCCCTTGCCACACCTGCTCCCTATACCATGAGACCTGCACTGTCCCCCCACCGCCGTGGGTTCTGTGACACCCCTGAGCCTTCTCCTGCCCTGACGCAGCCTCCACTGTCCTCCACCACTTCCCCGATGTTGACAGACCACTTAGTTATTTTGCTCTGTCTGCCCTCTCTAGCCAGAGTGTGGGCGTTAGGGGAGAACGGAGATCCTGCCAAAGGACACAGAGAGGATGGCAGCTCAGAACCTGTAACAGTCAGCTGGGTGTGGTGGCTCATGCCTGTAATCCCAGCACGGTGGGAGGCTGGGACAGGCGGATCACTTGAGGCCAGGAGTTCGAGACCAGCCTGGCCAACATGGAGAAACCCTGTCTCTACTAAAAGTTAGCCAGGTGTGATGGCGAGCACCTGTAATCCCAGCTACTCGGGAGCCTGAGGCAAGAGAATCACTTGAACCTGGGAGATGGAGGTTGCAGTGGGTTGAGATTGCACCACTATGCTCCAGTGTGGATGAGAGCCAGATTCCACCATCTTAAAAAAAAAAAAAAAAATCCATAAAAGTCAAAGTGGACCAGGCGCCGTTGTTCACGACTATAATCTCAGCATTTCGGGAGGCGGGGGCGGGTGGATCACTTGAGGTCAGGAGTTTGAGACCAGCCTGGCCAACATGGTGATGCCCCGTCTCTACTAAAAATACAAAAAATTAGCCTAGCCTGGTGGCTCATGCCTGTGATCTCCGCTCCTCGGGAGGCTGAGGCAGGA